GAGCAGAGTTAGCAAGGTCATGGCTGTCAGGGTGAGCTTAATTGGATAGAACCTGGCAAGTCATTGTAAGGACCTTGACTTTCACTTTGAACTGGGGAGCCAGGATTTTTCACAGCAAAAGGGGAGGTATGATTTGATGCACTGACCCCTAAGGCTGCTGAAAGAGAAGGACAACAGCAGGAAACTCAGAGCAGCCCAGGTGTTCCTGTGAGCCTCAATGCAGGCTGGGCCCAGAGCTAAAAGGCGAGGGAGGAAGAAAAACTGATTCTGAACTGTGGAGTTCAAACTAAAGCTAACAGAGCTGTGATGGATGGCATGTTGCATTTGAGAGAAAGGGGAGAGCTCAGGATAATAATGCTGCTACAAGGGTTCTGTTGATATGGGCCTGTCTGCCTGAGCTCAGCCATTGCTTCCAGGAAACAGAGCAGGGGAATAACTTGGAGAAAAGTTGAAGCACACTTTTGCTTTCTAAACCACCTGCCAAGCTGTAAACTTCAAAGAAAGAAACAGAAAGGGCGAAAATGAAAACACAAAACATAGATTCCGAGAGACTTATTTTCATGTGTTCCTTTGTGTTTCTTTTTTTTTTTAATCTTTTTTTTTTCTCTCAAGCCACGGTCTATTCCCCCAAGGTGTGGATAGTTGCTCCTTATACATCAGTCCTTTCTGTCTCTTTCTTTTTGGCTCCATGGCAGCTCAGACTTGAGCTAAGCCGATTGCCAATCCAAAAGGTTCCTTTTGTAACTTCCTGTTATAGACTTGGTGGGAAAGATGTGAAGGAATTTCCAAGGGGCAGTTTTCATTAATTAACACAACACAAACCAAATACATTGCCTTCCCCTGAAGAGTCCCTCCAAAAGCTATTTTGCAGGGGTTGGGGGCTGTTATAGCTCAGATTTTATAAAAGATTCTAACTGCTAGTTGTTTTTCTAAACATATTTTTATTCACATTTGTCCTTTAGTTTTATCTTTTTCCTTCCACACTTCCCTACCACCCCCTTAACACTCATTCCTCTGAGGATACTTGACTGGTACTCTTTTGCAAATTTCAGAAGAAGCTAAACTATATTAAAAACTATGTGCCAGGTTTTGACGTAGGTGCCTCACGATTTGGGCATAGTTTGCTATTTCTGAGATTTCTAAGTATGCAAATATCTGTAGCTATATAAAACTACAACACCTTAAAGGTTTACACCTCAACGGATTCTACTTTTTAAGGTTGCCTTAAAACATATTAAACATCACTTTTTCACCCACCTTGAGAAGTACTCAAAAATATCACCAGGCACAAAGCTTCACAATTGTTCCTGAGATCTGTCCTTCAAGGCCAGCCCTAACAAAACAAAATCTGTATCAGAACTTTGGAGCTAATTTTTTTGGAGAATTCCCTGAAATCTAAGCACCAATCCAACAAAGTACTGGATATTTTTATTGCTCTGTCTCTATGTGGCTAATTCTCTATTCCTGGTTTTATGACATTGAAACAACAGAATATAGAAATAATCCTCAAGCAACTCAAGGGCCCTAAAACTTTGCCCTTGGGTTTCCCGAAGGTGTGTTTCTCTTATGTGCAGAAATTTTCTGAAGCCACATGCTGTGGTTAAGAATTTTATATACATTTTTCTCAAGCCATGGAATCCCTATTTAACAGATGAGAAAATCAAAGCTTGGGATTATGTAGGAACCTTAGGAAAGAAAGAGAAAGGAAGGAAGGAAGGAAGAAAGAAAGAAAGAAGGAAGGCAGGCAGAGGAAGGAAGGAAGGAAGGAAGGAGAGAGAGAGAGAAAGAAAGAAAGGAAGGAAGGAAGGAAGGAAGGAAGGAAGGAAGGAAGGAAGGAAGGAAGGAAGGAAGGAAGGAAGGAAGGAAGGAAGAAAGAAAGAAAGAAAGAAAGAAAGAAAGGAGGAGGAGGAGGAAGGAAGAAAGGAAGGAGAGAGAGAAAGAAAGGAAGAAAGAAAGGAAGGAAGGAAGAAAGAAAGGAGGAGGAGGAAGGAAGGAAGGAGAGAGAGAAAGAAAGGAAGAAAGAAAGGAAGGAAGGAAGGAAGGAAGGAAGAAAGAAAGAAAGAAAGAAAGAAAGAAAGAAAGAAAGAAAGAAAGAAAGAAAGAAAGAAAGAAAGAAAGAAAGAAAGAAAGAAAAGAAAGAAAGAGGAAGGAAGGAAGGGAAACTATCTAGAAAAGCCAGTGAAAAATCTAGGACATAGAGTCAGATCTACCTGACCCTCAACCTCCTCCATTTAACCTCCTCCTTAACCTCCTCCATTTAAGTCTATAATGTCCCTCCAACCTGAAACGATAACTTGAAGCAAACAGATCCTGAAGGTGCCATGATTTCCTACCCCAAAGGACCTATTGAAAAATCAGCATTTCTCAGAAGTGCTCCCAGGTTTCTCAGAGATCTGCTGGATGAGCATGCCGTCCTTCCTCTGGCTCTGCATACCACCAAGGAAGTGCATGTATGTGCACTGAATTCTGAAGGAGAGCCTTCCAATACTGTCTTTCTAGAAACTAATCATCTCAGGAAAATCCTTTTAGAATGTGGAGCAGCCATTGTCAGCATTTAAAATGCAGAATGGTTGGCAGGTATGACCATAGGGACAAAGATTGGTCAGGGAACATGGGTGAATTAAAGAAGTTGAAGTCTGTGTAGGAGACAGTTCCTAACCAGTCTCGGCTGCTGTGCCTTGCTACCCATAGGACTGTAAATCCCAAAGCAGAGTCCCTCCTCCACATGGTACCACACTCTACCTACCAGTAAAATATTTGCAGAATCCTAATTCCCCAATCATCTCCCACCTCATTCACATCCTCCTTCTTGGAGAATTGGGGAAAACTTAACCTCCTGCCTGGCCAACTTTATATGGAAAGATACTTCCTAGATATCCCCTCACATATTTTGGAGTCCTCCTTTATTTTTTTGATCATTTCTCTCTGGCATACATCTAAGCGCTGAAGATTCCTGTAAATACAGACAAGATGGGATCAGCTGGTTTCTCACAAACATTCCCTTTGCCATGTGTCATGGCCACAACATTATTTGTATTAAGTTCTTATTTCCGGATTTATTTCCACAGCAATGTTTATTTCCTCTTCTTTATCCTTTCCTACTTTATTCTTGTATGTAATTTTTAAAAAAAAATAAACCTCATGCAGCTGCAAAATGATTAAGGAATGGTCCCACCATAGAATGATTTAATAGTAAAATCATCATGTCAGGTGAAGGTTTGGAACCTCCTTTTCCTCTTTAGTGAAAAACGCATGATATGGGGACATCTGGGGTTGTATTCCACAGGAAGCATAACCCTTCTTTTGGCTTTATCTGGCCCTCAAAAAAGACTCGATCTGGCAGCCACGGGAGTGCCTGGCATCATCTCCAGGCCATCATATTCCTGCCTATCACCTCCATCCTGTATTCTTTCTTTTTCTCTTTTTCCTTCTTTCATTGCTCTCTTCTCTCACTTTCCTAGTTCCCAGACTTCCTTTGATTTTCCTTTTCTCTTCCCTCAATTTGCCTTGGAGATTAAATAAAAACAACTGACTTCAAACTACCCTCCAGGATGGTGACCCTCACACTGACCTTCAACATTCATCAAAGACAAACAGACCCCAGGACATCTCCCTCCTTCTCATTTCCTTCTATGGCTTAAGCCATACTCTGACCTCTCCTTTTCCTCTGTGTAGTGTTTTACTTCCTGCCATCTTTCAGAATACACTTTGTGCTGCAAATCTGTTGCCTATGCCTAGCTCGTTCTATCCTAGAGGTACCTTCATGTTGGAAGCTAGTTAGATTTACAACTAATGGAGCTTTGAACAGAAAGGGCCTGATCCTAGATTACCTTCCCCATTGGAGTTGGCATACCTGTCTGTCCCAGAGGCCTGAAACACAGATTTGACCATATTTTGTGATTTCCAACAACAACCAAGGGAGGGGAAGTGAGTATCCACCAGCTATGGCCTGTCCTGGGAGGAGACACTCGCCAGGAGACACACTTTTGGTTTGATTTGGTAGTAACCAAAAGTAGAATGAGATTCCCTGTGGTATGCAGCTAGAGAATGTACCAGCAAAAGACTCCTAGTGGGAAAATTGAGGTCTTTAGAGGAGCTCATCCTATCTGAGTGTAGGCAATCATCAGTTGGTTTAAAATGAGAAGCTTTACCTTGAATATTCCCAAGCAAGAATAATCAAGGATTAAAAAAGAAAAAGAAATGTGTTATCTATCTTTCCCTCCTCTCTCCACTTTTGCATGTTTATTTCCTTGCTTGCTGCATGTGTTTACCCCATTCATTATGATCAAGAAGAAATGAAGCTTCACACTGTGACAGAGCTATTCAAAGTGATGACATTGAGGACAGTATTTTTCCCCCAGCACCTTTCCCAAAGTGTCTCGTCACCAACATTACTTGCTGTGCTTAGTTGATCATTCTTTGCCCCCAATCCCCAAATGGAATCAGTTGCCTCCTTAATGCTTTAATTGCAGCTGACTCAGCTGATATGGAAAGCTGTGATGCCTGTTCCTACAATGTTAGTTATGATAAATGCTGGGAAACCAAAGTCAAATCAGAAGATTCCTGGGTTTGGTTTTCCTTTCCCAGCTCATGGTCAAAAACTGATCTAGGCTGAGTATTTAATTACAGAGAAACGTCTATGGCTTCAGAGTAGCTCTGGGTATTTAGGCCTCTTCCAGATGTCAAGCAGTAGGGAGAGTGTTAGCAACACTTGCTTGTTTTTGTTTATTTGTGAGGGGAGGGAAGAGGTCTCCCGTCAGACCTTTCATCTATGGTTCAGCAGCTTGAGGCTCTCACAGAGAGTATGGAGGTTGAAGAAACCACAGAGGTAAGAGAGTGCCCTTCACACAGGCCCAAGGGCATGCAGTGGTATGGGCCCTGCTGGGTGTAGTGCAGCGTAACTGGAGAAGCTGCATGCCTGCTTTCTGGTGTTTCTCCTTTGCCACAAGGCTCTCTTCCTCCTCACTCTGTCTCTTTCCTACCGCTTTCTCTTGGTTCAGGGAGGTTCAGAGAAAAGGCCTCAATTCTCCACAAGATTGCCAAGAAGAAATGCCATGTGGATGAGAACGAAAGGCAGAATGGGGCTGCCAATCACGTCGGTGAGTACAGACAGACATCTATCACTTTCGCTTCTGGAGACTGAGGGGAACAAGGAGGCAGAGCTCAGCGTAGGCATCTTTGACTCCATGCCAACACAGAACCCTCTAGCACAGCATGGTCCCTAATAAATCTAGGGAAAGCCCAATGGGAGTAAAATGATTCTAATGAACCCCTAACCTGGCATCGCCACTCAAGAGTAGACAATCTCTTCATTTCAGGGACCTGCACAGGTTTTTTTTTTAATGGTTTAACAAAGGCAAGGATCCTCCTGTAATTCTTGCCTGACAACCAGATTTTATGCCTATGCATTGATTATTGAACAACCACCAAGAAGTCACTATTCAAAAAACCTCCCATGCTCCTAGATTAGGAGGATTAACATCGTGAAAATGGCAATACTGCCAAGGCTATCTACAAATTCAATGTGAAACCCATCAATATCTCAACTTCACTCTTCAAGGAAATAGAAGAGGCAATCCAAAAATTTATATGTAACAATAAAAGACCCCAAATAGCAAAAACAATCCTTAGCAGAAAGAACAGTGCTGGAGGAATATCAATACCAAATTTCAAACTCTACTACAAATCCATAGTAATCAAAACAGCTTGGTACTGGTACAAGAACAGACCTGAGGACCAATGGAATAAAACTGAAGACCCAGAAATGAACCCACAGACCTATAGCCACCTAATCTATAAGAGAGCTAAAAAAAAAAATAGAATGGAAGAAAGACAGACTCTTCAGTAAATGGTGCTGACAAAATTGATTAAACACCTGTAGAAAACTAGAGCTAGATCCCTGCACCAGAATCAACTCCAAATGGATCTAAGACCTCAGAGTCAAAGCAGACACTCTGAAAACATTATAGGATGGAATAGGAAAAATTCTAGGCCTCCTTAGCACAGGCCAAAATTTTCGTAATAAAGACCCAGAAACACAACAAATGAAAGAAAGGTTGGACAAATGGAATTGCATGAAACTGCAGAGCTTCTGTATGGCAAAGGACATAGCTAACAAAATCAATGGAAAGCTCATGCATTGGGAGAAGATCTTCCACTAGTCATAGAACAGACAAGGGTCTCATATCTAAAATATACTTAGTACTCAAAAAATTAAATCCCCCAACAACAAATCCTCAAAGAAACAATGGCCTAATAAATAAGTTGGCTAAAGGCTTAAAGACAAACTTCTCTGAAGAGGAAATAAGAATGACCAATAGACACATGAAGAAATGCTCAACTTCTCTAGCCATAACAGAAATGCAAATCAAAACAACATTGAGATTCCACCTCACCCCAGTTAGAATGGCTATAATCAAGAAATCTAATAACAACAGATGCTGGAGGGAATGTGGCAAAAGGAAACCCTACTGCATTGTTGGTGGAGTGTAAACTTGTTCAACCACTTTGGAAAGCAGTATGGAGGTTCCTCAAAAGACTCCACATAGAACTCCCCTATGATCCAGCAATCCCACTTTTGGGCAATGACCCAAATGATCACAAACAAGGTCATACTAAAGCTACCAGCACAACTATGTTTATCACAGCATTATTCACCTTAGCTAAGATATGGAACCAACTCAGATGGCCCTTGGTAGATGAATGGATCAAGAAAATGTGATATGTATATATATACACACGCACACACACACACACACACACACACACACACACACACACACACACAAAATAGAATTCTGTGCCTCCACCAGAAAGAATGACACCACCCATTTGCTAGGAAATGGAAAAACTTGGAAAAATTATATTAAGTGAAGTAAGTCAGACTCAAAGAAACATAGGTCCCATGGTTTCCCTTATCTGCAATAACTAGTATATGTCTAGGACAAGCAGAAGAGGTCAAAAGCTATCTACATATGACCATATGAGATTATGCTAAGCGAAATGAACCCCAAGATAGGGATGCAAGAGATTTTATCTTTCCTGTTGTTCTTTTTAATGTACTTATAATGTACTATGTAATTTTTTTTGTTTCTTTGTATGTTCTTCTCCTATGGTATAACCCCTGTTGTCACTGTATTTGATTCTGGTGTCCTGCATCTTGTATATACATTTTTCTTATTTGGGGACAGGAAGGGAAGTAACAAAATGCTGAAATAAGGATACACGATGGCCCATTGTAACAATCATATGTTCAAGACACTACGTTGAAAACAAACTTTACAACATTGTTGGGGCAGGAAGGAGGAGTTGAGGTGGGGAGGAAAGGAATGATAGGGGAAAACAAAGGAGGGGGTAACAATGCTCGATGGGAAGTGGACTCCTTGCCTTGCTCATGTAACTGTAACCCCTCTGTACAATATCTTTACAATAAAAAATATATTTAAAAAAAAGAAGTCACTACTCAGTCTCTCCGTGAGAGAGTGCCACAATCTCTTCAAGTTGCTGCGGCTGCTGCTGCTTTTTGTATGAACTCAACAGCATCAGCCCTGGTCTCCTTTGGCTGACTTTTCTAGATCTCCTATGTGACCAGATTGTGACATTCAGGCATCTTATTTTAACTTGAAGCATGATGTTCCGCCTGTCTATAACTATAATATAGCTCCCTAATTCGAAATTCAAACCAAATTTAACCTAATCTGGATCTATGCTATAAATGAAGCTATTTCCCAAGTAACTAAAATTATCTGCAGACAAAATTCAACAGCGTTACACTCAAAATATCTGACACTCCATAGAAGTTTCTGACTCTCCTCTTATCCCAACTTCTAGCTCACGGGAAAATTTTAACATAATAATACTTGGCATTCAAAATATTAACCTGGGTTACTTCTTGAAGTTGGGATTTTAAAGCATATATTTTGCTGTTGTCTTATGAAAACATGAAGTCACACCATTAATGTCTGACACCTGGTTTTGCTTAAGATATTGGGATTAATTAACCGAGCTGTTTGAGGGTATTTTTTGTTTTTCCTTTATTTCACGTGTTTATTTCTTTCTTTGTGGCATGAAGTAGACTGGAGTAGAAGACTTGATGCTTGAGTTCCATCTTAACCTTCCTCCCAATAATTGACATTCTTGGGCCTGGACTGAATCATTCATGACAGTATGAACACATAAATCCAAGAAATTTCAATGGTGTTACGCCTCCAAATTACTTGATAATCACAAATACTGTGTATCTAAAGTCCTTGCTATTCAGACATAGCGCAAGACTTAATTTTCATATTTTATTTGGTGGTAAAAACACTACCAGATAAAAGCACACATGAGTGAGATACTTGCCTGACAGGTATTTTCTTATTGCTCACCTCTGTCCTTGGTCATCTAACTCCCTTAAGTACAAAGTACCCTGTCCTGGAATCAAGGTGGTCGTGACAGATGGGTCTTGAGGTTATATCACTACAGCCTAAAAGAGAGTTTTTATATGTTCAATGTACTGAGCAGCTTTTAGTTCAAATGATTCAGTCAGCACACATGTAGTTTCTATGGCCTTCTATATTTAAACTTATGTATGCTTCTCTATGACCCAACTAAATATATAAATGTAAACTATTTCCCTATGATTTCCAAGATCTGGCTGCTTCAAACCCCAAAATTGTCCTGAGCCTCTTAAATTATTTCCTTAGTTACAAAGTGATAGAGATATCCAGTCCCATTGAACTTGTTAGGAAAAATACAAATTGAGGTTCAATGGGCAGCCTGGGACTAGTTGCATCTATGAGCTTCCATGTAGCTGCCTGCTCCACTGAGCCCTAGGATTGACTCCACACCTAGTGGATCACAATAGGAACATTTTTGGTTTTCTCCCACTGAACTCCAGTAATCTTGGGTGCACCTGAACACCTGGAATTGCTCCTCTTAGCCTCAAAAAGAATCTTCTAGTGAAAGGCAGGTAGTATACTGGGAAAGCAAATAGTTTGCATCTTGCTGGTTCTGACCCAGACACAGCTCAGTGCTTTTCATGTACTTTCTTATTTCAAAATGTCCATCTTCTATGGTAGTATACAGGCACACAGGTACTCTTCACATCACTGTTAACACTGATTCTCACAGAGGTTTGAGGCACTTGCTACAGATCCCACAGCACAAGTTACAGAGAGTATGAACACAGAACTGATTGCTTCCCGGGTCTCAGAGTCCCAACTTTTAACCAAAGCCCTCAGGCCACTTCTCACATCACAGTGGAAAACTTGACTGCTCTTGACTAATTGCTTCACTCCACCCAATTAAGAAAGACACAGACTTGGGCCTCCATTCCTTATCCATCTCCTCGCTGCCTTTTGTGAGGTAAGAAGCTCAGGTGTAAGACATGCTAAGTCTGCCTTCCCAGGGCCACTGGAGGAGCACAAGCACACATTTTGCTCACAAAGCCTGAGAGGCCTTACAGCTGAAAGCAATAGACCTTAGCAATCAACTGGTTTGACCGGCTCATTTCACAAAGAAGGGTCCCCAGACACAGAATGAGGAGAGTCTCCTAAAGTGACAGCCTGATGGGATGGCCTAAGAACTTGGTCTTAGCCAATATCCTCTCCGGGGTGCAGTACAACTGATGGTTGAGGGGTACAGTCCAAAGTGTAAATGACAGTGTATAAGTTTGAGTGTAGTTTGGGCTTCTGAAAGTCTGCATTTATGTTGCAGTACAACTGATGGTTGAGGGGTACAGTCCAAAGTGTAAATGACAGTGTATAAGTTTGAGTGTAGTTTGGGCTTCTGAAAGTCTGCATTTATGTTCTTGAATGGCTGGTTCTGCCAAATGGGGAAAAAAAAAAGAAATGCTGTCAGAGCTGATAGGACAATCATGTGACGTCAGGCCATAGCTTAAGAAATAGAAGCCAGAGCTTATAGTAGAGGGAAAAGAGCAGGGGGAGAAAAGGAAAGGCTGTTTGCTATTTAGCCTAATACCAGGCCAGCTCTCTGACATTACTCTCTCCTTGTGCCCAGCATTTCAGAATGTCATTTGTGGCATGCCTCTTACCCCCCATTGATTGTGTTTGTTTTCTATGTGTTTAAATTCTGTCACAGAAAAAATCGAACTCCCAAACAGCACGAGCACTGAAGTTGAAATAACACCATCCAGTGAGGCTTCAGAACCTGTGCAAAATGGAAACCTCTCCCACACCATCGAAGCTGCAGAGGCCCAGGTATGGCTCTTACATTGTTCTGGACTGCTGTTCTTCCTGGCGTGTAAGCACAGTGTTATGGACCAGGTATCCTCCTTAAGGGCCCCAGCTCCCAGCTGGGTAGACACCAAGCAGAATTGGTTCTATCTTTGCATTTGTGTCCCAGTACCATACCATGGCCTCCACAGGTGGCAACTTTGTGTTTATTGAATAAATGAACACATATATTCTCTGAGCTATTGTTTCCCAGGATTAGGTGAGATGACTCATGCCTCACAATCTCATCTCAGGGATGAAAATGTAGATCTTGATGTATCGAAATAGCTGTTGCCTACTCTTCTCTGTCCTTAGGTCAGAGTTAAAGAATAGAAATATTACAACCATCACATCTCCATGAGACCCCACTGGCCTTCTCTGTCCCTCTTGTTGAAGTTAATACTCTCTGGCCCCACCCACTGTTCAATGGCACAACCAGATTGTCCCACCTCATAGCAATAGTCCCCAATACTTAGCAAATACCTGCTATGTGCCACAGACTTGACCTAGGCATTATATGTGTATTGTGGCTCCCAGTGTCTCCAGTTGAGGAATCAATAGCTCATTAAGAAGAGGTAATTCATTGAGTAGACCTAGCTGGCAGAAAGGAAGGCTGAGAGTTCATCTGAGCATTGTCTACATACATTGTCAGAACCTTCCATCATACAGTACTGCCTCTGGACCATTCACTCAAAAAGTCAATGCTAAGTCAAGGCTTCTCAAACTCAGAGATGTGCACAAATTTCACAGTAATCAGAAGAGAGTCTTGCTTAACTCCAGTCTCCAGTGTAGCAAGAAGCAAACACAGAGCTTCTAAAGCCTCTAGGTTTTAGAGGTAGCATATTAACATGTTAGTGTCACCTCTCTGACACATTGCTGAGTGCCAACAAAGGCTACTACCTTTGGTAGGAACTTAGAACTTAGAGAAGGAAAAGGCTCCATAAAAACAAATCCTGCTATAATCCTAACTACTCAGGAGGCTGAGATTTGAGGATCATGGTTCAAAGATAGCCCAGGCAAGAAAGTCTGTGAGACTCTTATCTCCAATAAACTCTACTCAGAAAAGGCCAGAATTTATGCCATGGCTCAAGTGGTAGGGCACTAATCTTGAGCAAAAAGCACCTTAGGAACAGAGCTCAGGCCCTGAGTTCAAGCCAGAACCATCACACATACACACAAAAAAAAATCTGATTTCTGCTTGTTGGGTCTGGAGATAGTCTCAGAGTCTAGAGTCCTAGTGGGTTCCCCAGCCACTCAATCCACAGATTATCCAAAGATTATCCCATTTTCTTCACAGAATTTCCTAATGAGCTGAAAAGTTAAGACACTGCTTACCAGCATGTTTTAGGACTTTACTAGCATGTGACGGCATCTACACTTCCCAGGAGAAAAGCATGGTAATTGTTGCCTGCTGCCCTGTTCCCTCATAGGAAGATACAAGGGAAAGTTCTTCCTTCAAAGGGGAGGATGAAGCGACTGCAGCTCTGCTGCCCTTGCCTCCTCTGCCTTGCTGGCTCCTCGGCCTCCTGCTCAGAGCCCCAGGGTCCCTGGATGTTAGCTCAGGAGCAGGCTGGCAGAGCAGCTCCTGTCCACATGGACAAGCAGCATGTGACAGTAGGAGGCAGGCCTCAAGGACATCTGGCTGCCCTTGGGGCTGCCCTAGGCATAGGTGTGCAGAGGGCCATGTGGGCACCATGCTGCTCCATCTGGCCACTAGATCCCCTACGAGGGAGGATCTTGCTGCAGAAGAGCAAGCGTCTCACTGACCTCTCTGGGGCACAGTTGCCCCAGGTCTCAGTGTGGAGAAGCAGGGTGAATTTGCACACCTTGCTGATACACTGATTGCTTAAAAACAAGCATGCCTCCAAAGAACTGTCTACCCTCTATCACTGACTGCAGGAAGGCCTATTGGTGAACTCTCCAAGTCTACCAAGGGCAATCTACTTACCAACCTCATTGAGCTCTAGTTCCCTGTCCTCTAAAGAGCAGATCATTACAGTACCTGCCTCCGTGAGGTTAAATGAGATAGTATGCAAAAAGCACTCAGCATAGAATTAGACGCTGAATATTCATATCCCATGTCCATACTTGCCACTTCCACAATAATCAGGTGTCCCTCCTTTGAAGTAATGTATTTTATGTAAAATGAAAAGAGGTCGTACAATGTTTGAGGGATATTCAGGCCATAAATAAGTCCACCAACTAACGTTTGTGCTTGGTAATTAGCTATGACCCTGTGTTGTTTGTGCAAAGTGCTCTGAAGCCTGCCAACAAGGCATTAAAAACTCCACGGAAGAGTAATACTTAAGTTGGGTATTGATGGATGAACAAAGAGTTTGTCACTCAGGAAAGAAAGAACTAAATGGCAACATGTGCAGAGAGAGGTATAAGACCTTACGAAAGAAATTTGTGTTTAGGGGTTGGTGGAAAAGATGATATACCAGAAAGGATAAATTGACTTGAACTTCTTCACCTGCTCATCTGAAAGTTTCCAATGGCTCATTTGTGCCAGGCAGTGGCTGGGCACTGGCCAGACCCACATGTGCTAGCAGAGCCAGGGCTGTAATATCAGTCAATACGACTGTAGTTGATGGTGGGAAGAGAAAACTAACAAAAGGGGAGAGAAGAGAGTTGGACACCGGAAGTCTGACTACACTGAGGCTAAACTTCCAGAAGGAGCTAGCCAAGTGAATTATACCTCAAAGGCAGATATGAACGTGGGCTCTTTAAGGAACAAAGAAAGAGTGAGGGGAGGAAGGAGGAGGATGGCAGTGGGGCCAGAGAGGAAAGCAGACCCATAGACAGCAGGGAAGTTCACTTCTTTCTGGGGCAGCAAAGCCTCTGGACATGCCTACATGTGATTGACATGCATAAAAAGGGTCCCTGGGGCTGTGGTCCAGAGATTGGATTGGAAGGAAGCATGGATTACAACAACGGAAGGGAAAAGAGGTCGGTGGAGGAGTGGAAGGAGGGATCTGGGGGTCTAGGCAGCATTGTGAGAAGTGTGAGATTGTGAAGAGCATGGCGTATGTGGCCAAGCAGGCTCACCCCCAGCACGGTGGGAGGGCATCTTTGAAGGCCTTGGGGGAGCAGGGATAGCATCAGATTTGTTTTCCAAGAAGATAGCTCTTTACCATAGTCAAGAACATCAAGTGTCTGTCACCCGCTCTTCATAGCTGGGCCTGTTATCCTAGCTACTCAGGAGGCTGAGATCTGAGGACTGAGGTTCCAAGTCAGCCCCACAGCAAAGTCTATGAGATGCTTATCTCCAATTAATCACTAAAAAGCTAGAGGTAGAGCTGTGATTTAAGAAGTAGAGTACTAGCCTTGAGAAAAATGCTCACGCCTGTAATCCTAGCTACTCAGGAGGCTGAGATCTAAGGATCAAGGTTCAAGGCAGCCCAGGCAAGAAAGTCTGTGAGACTTTTTTTTTTGAAATAAGTTTTTTATTCTGAAAATACTGTACAGAGGTTGTTACAATCACATGAGTTAGGTAACAAGTACATTTCTTATCAAGCATTGTTTCTTCCTCCTTTGCTTTTCCTCTACCATCCCTTCCTCCCATCTTATCTCCAATAAACCACTCAGAAAACTGGAAGTGGTGTTGTGGCTCAGTGGTAGAGCGTTCGCCTTGAGCTGAAGAGCTGAGGGATAGCGCCCAGGTCCAGAGTTCAAGCCTCATGACCAACAAAAAAGAAATATAAGAGAAAAAAAAACTGCCAGGAATACTGCCCAGACCCTCCATTCAATCCCCAGAAGCAGCAAACTACACACACACACACACACACACTCAATTCATGTCCTGTCCCTAGGCTCACATGGGGCCCTGCACTTACCACATTGCATAAGATGTGTCTTGTTCTAGGTCCGATGACCTCTAGGTCTGATGACCTCACAAAATCCCTAAGTTGACACAAAAAATGATAGCTGGTGGCTATCCTGGCTGCTCAGGGGCTTTACATGCATGTGTTGATTTAATCTTCCCAATATTCCAATGGTGAAAAATTGTTCCCATTTTACAAATGAGGAAACTGAAGTGAAGAAAAGGGAGTACACTGAACAGGAATAGCCACTCCTGTAACAGAGGCAGGATTCAACTAGAAATCTATCCGGAGATTTTTGCTCTCTCCCCCACATGTAATTATTTTCATTGCTGTTTTCAAAAAGCCCTTCTAAGGGGTTTCTAATAATGTATGGCACTCTAAAAATGTATTGCCACAGAGAAAAGACAGTAGATCACAAATAAGAAAATACAAGTAAATCACAAACTTTAGTTAAAAGGAGGAGGAGTAGGAAGAGGAGGCCAAGTGTGGTTGTACATGTTTGTAATCCCAGAATTCAAGAGGCTAAGGCAGTAGGCTCACAAGTTGAAAGCCAGTATAGGGAAGACCTATCTCCAAAAATAACAACAAACCCCCCACCAAAAAAGAAAAAATGTCAAGAAGCGGTGGAGCAGCTAGAAGAGAACTAGCCACCGGGAGGTAGAACAGAAACAAGTGAGATTCAGAGATTGACACGGTATAGCTGAGTTCGCCCTGCAACCATTTTTTAAACCACCCATGAGACGAGAATGGCTTTTAAAACTTTTTTAAGGAATCAACAGCAGCATATGTGACAGAGACCATATGGACCTCAAAACCTGAAATGTTTACAGTCTCGCCCTTTAAAGGAAAAACTTGCCTGTTCCTAATATAGACTATCCGTAGTCCTTAAAGAAAGGAAGGGAAAAGGGAGGGGAAAAAAAGAAAACTAAGGGCTCTTCATGTGCTAATTTGGAAGGATCTTCAATGCACGTTAAGTGAAAAGGCAACATGCCAAAGTATATCTTATGGTATAGGACAGTATAGTATGCATCTCAGTGTGCTAAGGAGAAAAGGAGGGAAAGAACCTGGAAGCTTTGGCTTGGGTGTGATAACTTCCAGAACAGATCTCGACAATGAGGCACTGGAATGAGCACATTTTCCATACACACCTCCATGGCTGTG